AACACTCTGGATTTTGATAGTTGATTTACACTATTGTCTTCATTCCTGGAGTGTGAGCTCCTGGGAGTGGGACGAGTCACCTCTGAAGCCCTGTTTCATCGTATATTGCCTGGTCCGAAGTAGTTACTCAATGATTGTGCTTGGAATGATCCTCCTGATTCTGATAAAGGCTGAGAAAAGTCATGCTCCTCGGGGAACAGGAAGGGACAGTAATCACCGCCTAGCTGATCTCCCTCTTTGCCAACAGCATTCCTCTCCACTGTCTCTGGATTAATCGTCCCCAAAGAATTTCTTAACTGTCCTTTTCACTACAGACTCAATAAACTTGGTGTTATATAGGAGCAGAGGAAGACTCTAGGCTAGACTCTGGAAGGCTTGGTTTGAATTCACATCTTTACAACCTCCTAGATTTGTGAGTTTAAGATAATCCCACACCTGGGCCTCCCTGGTGGCACAAGGTGCAACCTGTGAAGCTGTCCTCAGCCTCTGCAGTACAAGTTCGATTCCCGGCCAGGGAGGTGACCCACAGGGCACGGCAGACCTCTCCTGTCTCGTCCGCTGCTCCCCTCAGCAGTGTACTTCAGTCAGTCTGCCGGTTCTGCTCCCCGCTCTGTCTCTGGTGAATCCTCTCACCCCCCACACCTCTGGCCTGTACCCCCAGTTCTTGTATGCATAAGTAAATCTTTAAAAAAAAAAGATAATCCTGTACCTTTACACTTCCATTTCCTCTAAAATCTAGTCACTGCTTACCACCCCCATTACCACCTGCCATGGTGGCTTATAGATCATCTCAACTGGAATTACTGTAATGATCTACCTTGTCCCCTGGCTCCTAGGCCTGTCCTTCTTCTCCCTCTCCCCGCCCCATCATGTCTGTTTTCAACACAGCAACTGGAGGGAGCTTGTTAAAATGTGAATTTAGTCAGATCTTCAAGTCCTGTTACTGTCCACTTTATTTCTCAGCCCTGAATCCTGCTGTTGTTTCTCTAGCCCAGAGGTCAGCAAACATTTTCTGTAAAAGAATGGCTAGTAAATATTTTACATTACATGGGCCATACAGTTACTGGCATCTGTGTCTTTTCAATGTTTGTTCTGAATCTATTTTCTTACGTGAACTATATAGTTCACTCTGCTTTGCACCATACCTCATCTATAGCATGATATTTTTAATGGACTGGAAGGGATTATTTAAAATTAGTTGTTTGACTTTTGGCTTAGAATCTATAAAACAAATATTCTCACTTAATGTAAGCTATAGTCTTAAAGAGTAGTTTAGAAACCAACAACAACATGGTTGTAATGTTTGGATTCCTCCAGAGGGGAGGGATGCCTTGCATATGGAAATTCTTTCCTGTCAATTCTGGTCTAGCTAGAATGCTCGGAAGTCACACTAAATTCGAAGAAGCATGAAGGTGAACGTCTTCCATCTGGAAGATGAGCTGTTCGATTATAACATCGTTTGCCATCTGTTCAGGGCGCTGAGACTGTCTACACAGTGTAGACTGGAGGGGACAAGTGATCAGACAATGAGCTCGCTGCGAAACTAAAAACAATAATGATGGCAGCAACGGTGACAGCAGCAAATCACATCAAGCATTTATTTGCTTTCTAACTTGGATGATCATGACTGCCACATTCTCCAGATTCTCCAGACTATTGTCATGCTTACACACATGCTTACACACACACACACACACACAATGTCAAAAAGCGGTTACTGTGTAGGATTATCTACCTTTTGCCTGGCACCACCACTCCTGTAGAAGTGCCTGCCTGAGGCTGGAAAAAACAGCATTTCCCAGCATTCCCTTGCTAGGTTCTGGCTTAGGCTTGGCCAGTGAGAGGAACTTGGGAAATTTAGAAGGTGGAAGGGAAGCAGAGGCCATTATTTTGGGATTCATGTGAGTCTACTTTGTTAGATATGGCAGCATTCCAGATCTTTCTCTGGGCTTCCATTTTATGATGCCACTTTAGTGGCTAGACATGGTAGCTTCTCATATTTCCCTGAGAACACCTGCTTTTCCATAGAGATTCAAATCCCTCTTAGACCTTTATTTCCTAGTTACTCACATATTCTTTTTTTTTTTAAAAAAGATTTATTTATTATTTACTTATTTATACAAGCACTGGGTAAGTCAGAAGCGCGGGAGGGTGAGAGAATTCACCAGAGCGGGGAGCAGAGCAGGCAGAAGGACTGAAGTACACTGCTGAGGGGAGCAGCAGGCGGCAGGAGAGGTCTGCGCGCCATGTGGGACCCTCCTCAGGTGGCCGGGGAGCAGCCGGGGATCGAACTGGCACTGCAGAGGTTGCTGGCAGCTTCGCAACCCCGCGCTCAACCGCTACGCCACCAGGGAGGCCCTACTCACATATTCTTATAGACCCTGATTTCTGTATTTGTATAACCTTAACCTGCTAATTTTTTAGTGTCTCTGTTTTCCTGACTGAACCCAGAAAGACAAGTATACAGTTACCCCAGACTTTTAACTATAAAACACCATTTTAATGCAAGTTACTATCATTTTCTTCAACTAAGGTTTATTAATTTATTGATTTATTGCACATCATAACGTACCAAGCGTTGGAAAGAAGGACAAAAAATACAATGGCTGATGCCGAAGTCAGTCTGGGATTGGGGAATGTGGGACTGGGGGAGCGGGTCTTGAATACATAGACCTGTGATTCTAGTTTACAGTTCTGCAATCCAAGCACAGTCTATAGTTCTACTAGAGAGTGATTTTGCTCCCCATTCCCCTAAGGAAATGGGGCAATGTCAGGAGACATTTTTGGTTGTCACAACAGAGAAAAGGGCACTATTGGAATCTAGTGGGTAGAGGCCACTAGGATGCAGGATGCTAAATAGCCTACAATGCACAGGCCTGTCCCCTACAGCTCCTAGCTCTCCTAGCGTCACATGCCGTTAGTCCTGAGGTTGGCACACCCAGGTACGGACAAAGGATTCCAGTGTAATGTGGCATCTGCTGCGGTAAAGGACCGCACTGGCCACAGGATATTAAGGAAGAAGGAATGTTCTGCTAGAGTAGCAGAAGGAAGCTTAGATGGCATTCTTGTATGCAGTCCCACTGTGGAACGCACTGTCTCTGGAAGATATGTGTGGATATTACATACATGTTACAAATAGCACCCTATCCTAAGGCAACTACATTTTGTTAACAGAACCTGTTTTTTAGTGCAACAAGGACGGAGCCACTTGTTTCTGCCATTTGGCCAGGAGTTTATATCTTTTAATCTTCTCCTATCTTAATCAGAAAGGACTTGTTAAACTAGATAGAAAACTACTTATGGAAGCTTACGTAGATAGGAAATTTCTTTTAAGAAATTATTTAAAAATTATTGTAACAAAATCTAAGTCTGCAAGCATAGGGAAGGGGTGCAGTGTAATGACCAGAAACTTAGGTTCTGCTCCAGTACTCCTGGTTTCAAACCTTGGCTCTGCCACAAAGCAGTGGGGGCGCTGGACAAACCTCTACAAGCCTCAGTCCCTTCTGAAGTAAAATGGAAATAATGCCACCTTCCTTACAGGGTGTTTAAAAAAGGGTCAGTGAGATCATGTTCAATAAGGTCCTATAACAGCGCCTGGTAGAGGGCGTGTACTCAATGATTGTCAGCAACGAGGCTGACCCTGACGGAGGCACAGAAAGCAGGGCTACGTAGCTCAGGAGCTCCATGGAGCAAGTCAGGAAATTTACCCTCCATCTCTCCGGGCTGATATTCTCTTCCGTTTCAGTAGCATACTCGTTGTTCATGTTCTTGAGAGAATCTCATTGATAGCCCATGTTGCGGACTGCTTGTTCTCGGGTTGTTGGGTAGGAAAAGGGGCAGGAGATACAAACAGGGTGAAGGCTAAGGTCGTAGGTGTCCCTGAAAGAATGCACACGAGGAGCCATAGAAGGAACAAGAGAGGCTGGTGTTGAAAAGAGATGAGTGTGGCTTACATGGCTGGTGTTTTCACTAGAGTCAAGAGCATTTGTTCTAATGCCTCCCAGGTCGCTAATCAGAAACAATGGTTGTGATTACAGGGAGACAGAATTCGACTCAATATGAGGAAGAACGTTGAACAACTCCAACTGAGCATGGAGCATGACAGCGGGAAGGTAATGAATTCTTTGTTATTCTTTGTTGCTGGAGACATTCAAGTGCTTGAGATACTTGTTGGAGAAGCTGGGTATCCACATAGCATATGGGTTAGGGCACTAGATGACCACTTATGGACCTTCTGATGCTGGAAGCCTCTGATTATGGATGAAGTTTACTAAGGTAAGATGTTCAGGAGGGCAAACTGTATTGAACGCGCTGACATGAGGGTAGGAGAGGCATATTCACAGGTGCTCTGCTGTGACCCTCCTTAGCCTCCTGCATGTTTCTAGGTATTCTGATCACATTTTGCAAAAGAAAGCCTCCTCTGATAGAGTCACCTACAGCAACAGTTTGGTTCAGTCTTTCTTTGAATTGCTGCTGTTATAATTTTGAAGATTCTAATATAGAATATATAAAATATAGAATAATTTAAAAATCCCAAATAGTCATGATAACTTCACATTATGTGAAGAATAGGCAGTGAATGGATGTAATTTTAGAGGTC